CTTCGGAGAGGCGGGGGGCGGGGGGTGCACTGGCTCCATCCTAGCCCTGGGGACTCAGGCACCCGTTCCTGAGTCACAGCAAGTCACATCGGCCCTGCTCTCTCTACCCTGCTCTCAGCTGGCGAAGGGGCTCTGCCAGCCCACCTTGCCCATTCATCTCTCCGCCTCTCCGTCTGAGAAGGTAGCTTCGAGTTTGAAGGGAAACGGTGGGGTCCAGTGTGGGGGTTGGGGCTGTACCTGCGGCGGCCATTTTGCAGGTGTGGCTGTGGGATGAGGGTAATCAGGTCTGGAGCAGGAGGGGCGCCTGCAGTGGGGTGCAGTGCTTGCAGTGCAGGGTGGGCATCTGAAGATGGGCAGAATGTCCTCGGTGGGGTGTGGTCCACAGGGCAGTGAGGCTGGGATCAGGTGTGGAGTCAGGGCCCCCTAACCCCAAAGCTGTCAGTGAGGGCCCCTGTAGGGACAGGCCTGCCTGCTGCATGCCTCCCTGCCGGGCCCCCCTCCCTCCAGTACCCCACAGACTGTCCCTTGGGTCCTCCTGCTTCACCAGCCACAGCCAGGTGGACACAGGTTCTGCTCCAAACCCCGAGCTGGTGAAGCTGGGGTTCATACCCAGACCCACTGGGTGAGGGGTTCTAGACAGCCAGCCTTGCCCCTTCCCGTCCTCCCTGGTGTCACCGCTGCTGCCCCAGGGCTGACCGTGTCCTCTGGAAGCAGAGCAGGGAAATCTTCCCATGAGTGGAGGTGGAGGTGGAGGTGGGAGCCTGGGGGGATGGGGAGAACCTTCCTAGGCCACTCAGCTTGCTTGGGCCAGCCAAGGAAGCGAGCTGGGTGTTGCAGGGCAGGGAATGTTTTGAAGGGGTCCTGGTACCACAGGATGGGGACATGGAGGGCTGTGGAGAGGCTAGCAGCACTAGAACCATGCCCTGGCCTTTAGGGTTGACTGACTAGGGCACATGTCCAGATGACCCTGCACTTCTAAGAGCCAGGAGGGCCTGTGGTGGAGAGTGGCTGGTCAAGGGTCACTTAGTAGCTGATGACCCCCAGGTTGTCCTCCTGCCCAGCCCATTTAGTGTTCTTAGGCCCAGGACAGGGCTCACCACCCCAGGGAACCCAGTGTGTCATCTCCACGGTCCCTCTCATGCCCAGGAGCATCTCAGAGCTCTTTTGGGGCTGGACTGTACCCTGCTCCAAACCTGTCGGCTTTGGGGTGTCCAAGGGCACAGCCAGGCTGGTGGGCCAGTGACGTCTTCAGTCTGTTTGTTCCCTTAGCTGACTGCCTCTGCCCACCTGGTCCCCCCCCCCCGCCAGGCATGCCCAGGGCTGGGGTAGAGGGCCTGGTGAGGCCTGTGCCCCACTGCCCCACCTGAACTAGCAGGTTTGCTGTTTGATTGCTGACATGACCAGGTCGTGTTTAACTCCTGATCCTGGCTGCCGGCTGGGCTGAGAGGTAGTGGATGACCCCAGGCAACCCCATAGCCCCCAGCCCAGTGCCATCAGGACCAATGAAGTAGTCATTGTATTGGGGTCTTTGGAAGGGTGGAGGGCACAGTCAAGGTCAGCTGTCAGCTGAGGCTGAGCCTCCTGACCCCTCCCTGTTCCTCTCAGCCCCTCCTGGGTGCCTCAGTGCCCTCACCCACAACACCACCTCACACCTGCTTTCTCCCAAGTTACCCTGGCTTAGCCTTCGAAGCTGAAGCTGAACCCCTTGTGCCCTGAGTACCACCCTGATCCAGATACTCTGCCTGGGTGGCTGGGCTCCCCCCTCTCTAAAGGCTTCTCACCCTGGATTTAATCCTCTAATCCCCAGCTCCCTGGGGTGGGGAAGCACCCCACCCCCCATCCCCTGTCCACCTGGTCAGATTTTAGCCCTTAGAGGGGCGTCTAAGGAGAACAAGTCTGGACCCCATCTGTCCAGGTTCCCTGTTCTTACTCCTTCCCCTTCCCCTCATGGCCCTTGGACTGGAGCAGCCACCCCGTACACATACACACACATACATGCACACTCACCTCACTACACACTGACACCCAAATAGGTTCACACACTCATTCCCATACACAGAGTTTGCAGCCAGCTATGTCCATGTGAGGTTCTTAGAGCCCCTCAAAGGCTGCCACCACCTTGAAGCCCTCTGTGAGCACCTCAGGATGTCAGCCTATCCCCTCTGTAGGAAAGGCATGGACATTTATTGGGTGCAGATTCTAGTGTACACGTCGTGTGAGTCCCTTGTTGTTGCCCCCAAGACTCCACGAGGCAGGTGGTGTCCCAGACTTGGAGACTGAGGATCCTGAGATGGCTGTGCCTTGCCAGGGGGTCCTGGGACTCTCCCCAGCTCCCTGTGACTTCCAGAGCTTTCTGTCCCCCTCTCTCTTCCCCTCCTACCCGCCCTGCCCTAGCGCACTCTCCCTCCTCCTGGCCCCGCACAGTCTCCGGAACAGCAGGCACTCAGTAAGTGCTGTTTCCAGATTGAGCCGGTAGCTTTTTAACCCAAGTGGTCCATTTCCTGAGGGCCCAGGGCGAGCAGCTGCCACTCTGTTAGGGGTGGGGTCCTCTTTGTGTCCCCACTCAGGGCCTGCTGGTTCCTGAGGCAGCTGCCTCCCTTCCTCTAGGTCTCCTGAAATGCAGCTCTTGGTTTCCAGTGGAATGGCCCCAGCTGCTCTTGCAGGCCCCACTCCATGCAGACCCCCTTTTCCTTGAGCCAGCCTCTGGCTTTCCTCAGAGGGAGGCAGTGATGCCCAGGAGTGGCCTAGAGGGGTTTCAGGAGTCCTGGGTCCCACTTCCTGGCTCTCAGTTTCTTTCTCCATCATCATCTCAGGGTGGCAAGGGGCGGGTCTTGACCATTAATGCCCAAGGCCATGGGGCAGTGGGCCCAGGCTTCTGTAGAGCTATCATGGGGCTGAGGCAAGGGGTCACTCAGCTGCCTGCTGTCATTCTCTACCTGCTTCTGGGGCCAAGGCCACACCATGGCTGTGGTCCCTGGTGCCTGGGAGGCGACAGCTGCAGAGTGCAGTAGGCCAGGCCCAGACCAGAGGAGAAATCTTAGCGCCATATCTATCCCCTTTGCTCCGGCTTTACAGTCACACAGGACATTCTTGGTGGTGTCTTTTCTTAGATGTGAGCTGTCTTTTTCTTATATTGTATGCATTT